AAATTAAACTGACTTGGAATTTAAGAATTAATTCTCTCTACAAAACCAAGGAATTACCATCTTCCAGGTGCCATAAAAATCTGTCATTTTATGTTCGTCTGTCTGACTTTTTGTATAATTACATTGTTGTTGTTGCTGGGTGCCACTGAGTGGCTTTTCCCCACGTGACAAAGTAGAGCTATAGGGTTTTCTAGACAGTAATCTTTATGGGAGCAGCTCACGAGGTCTCTTCTCCCGCAAACTGGCTGGTGGGTCCAAACCTCTGACCTTTCAGTTAGCAGACGGGTGCTTAACCACTGCGCCACCAGTTTCCGTTTTCAAAGAGTGAATAAAATAATATTAATTAAAACTTTTATAGAGAAATGCTTTCTATGCATTAATCCCCACAGCAACTCTATGGAGTTAATTATTTATTTTTTTTCCATTTCACAGATGAGGAAGGTAAGGTGTAGAAACATTAAGTGACTGAACCAATGTCATACGGCCAGGCTTCAAACCCAGGTCTGGCTAGAAAACTGGTGGTTTTAGAGAGAAGTGACCCTCGGAACTAGGAAAGAGGTTTTTTTGGTATTTATACTTATCATTTCTGTCTTGCCTGTTCTTTCTAATTTCTCTAAGGACTACCTGAGTGTCCTGGAGAGAGGCGGAACATTTATCATATATCACAGGAGTACAAAGATCTCAGGCTAAGGCCCGGGGTCACAGATACCAAGAAAAGAAGAGCAGGGTGTCAATAAGGATATTTATAGTGGGGAAAACATACAATTTTATTTTGAAAAAGATATACTATCATTTAAAACAAGGATAATATTTTCAGTTGGAATGGCTCCCAATAAAAAATGGATATCAAACTCTGTGAAATCTAAACTTGCACTGTTGCTGTTTTAAGTATGGTCCTGCACTTTGTTCCATTGGCTTCCAGGAACCAGGCGGGAACTTGTTCACTGAAGAAGTCCAGCTTTTGCTGGACTTGCCCATGGCCCTAGGCCCAGAGCTGAATACGAGCCACCCCAAGAGTCAAAGATTCCCCTTGGGAAAAGCCAGGATAAGCTCGAAGCTTTAGAAAACATGGTCCTGTTTAAAAGAAGAGAGATTGAATCTTACTATTCGTTGTTAACCTCTCTCTCCCTTCCTGGTTAAATTAAGGGTGACATTGACAGCAGCTCCAGGAAAGAGGGGTTAATCTTTCTTTAAGCAAATAGTCACAGGGATGGTGCTGGGTTTGGAGTGTTTGTTCTTAGCTGTCAGCAAGAGAAGACAGAGATTAAAAAGAAGAACAGAGCCTTCTCCCCCAGACCTCGCCCACCTACTCCCTGAGCCTCTCTCCAAGGAGCTGGAAGCACGGATGGCGCAGCATCACCAATGTCCACCCCAGGTTCCTCCTCCCTTGCCTAGAGCACACCCGGGATCACAGGAAATGAAGGCACAGTAACTTTAAGTGATTTAAACGCTCAGATAAAGAAAGAAAAATAAAATCTGTCTTCCTGGTTCCCTAGACAGTCCAGCCTAATGGGGAAGTTTTCTACAAGTGGCTTCCAAGGCACTCAGCAGTGGGTCTCAACTTGCAGTGGTTTGCTTTCAGTCTGTTCTATGTCACTGGTGTTATTGTTGATGGTGGTGTTTTTTTCTGAATGCAACTCTGCATTTTAGGACAGCTAAGGAGTTCTGGTAGCATAGTGGCTAAGACACTTGCCTGCTAACCAGACGGCTGGTGGTTCAAACCCACCAGCCACTCCTCGGAAGGAAGGTTGGGCAATCCTACTTCCGTAGTGATACTGCCTCGGAAACCCAAGGAGGGGTCGCTATGAGTCGGGTTTGACTCGACGGCACATAACAACAACAACAAGGCAGAACGGTAACACCTGTGTAGTGTAGGCCCTTCATATTTTTCCTTCAACTCCCTCCCCACTACTGCCTAACCAGAGACCTGGGCTCACCTGCAGCTCCAGAGACACCTGGCTCTGTGATGTGCCATTCCCGTGTCCTAGTTTTATCCCTACCACCATTAAGGTTGGTCCTGGGCCTTCTACCTTTATAATCCTGCTAAGTAACTACTTATCTAGTTGTTTCAGGCCTACTTAGCTCCCAGATGAATAAATAGAATGGGGCCACCTCTGGCTTCCTTCCTCAGCCACCCATTCTTCATTCTCTACTGTGTATAGAGAAGATCCATTTGTTTTCCTGGCCAGGAGAACAGTGGTGCTCTTGACCCCATTCCATCCTTCCATCTCCTCCAGGTACACAGTCTACAGATTACTTCCCTTCAGTATTGAAAGCATTCTTCTCTTATAGAGCCTTCCTCTCTGCAGACAGAAATGGACAACACTCCCCAGGCTGGGCATAGTACATGCCACACAATATGTGCTTCATTAATTGAAAAAATACACACAGTACTTCCCTCAAGCAAGGCCACTATGTCATATGACTTGAGGGGCATCATTAACACTTCATTCTCTGTGAATGGTGACCCCTACATTTGTTTAGTATGATGGTATTGTTCTCAAATACTTTTTCTAAAACTTTCACAGGATTTGTACAATCTTTTTAATATGACTCTTTAAAGAATGATTTTCCCCTGAAAACCAATTCAAAAAAACCAAGTTTGGTCCCATCCAAGAAGTTTGCAATGTAGGAGTTAGACACACCCTGGAAGGTTTTCTTGCAAATTGTCTCTTTTTAGGGTAGGGTGCAAAACAAAAGCTAAGTACAGGTATCTTATCACATTATTGCAGCTCTAAGACTTTTAATCCCATATGGGCAAAAAAAAAAGAGAGAGAGAGAAACATATTTGGAGGAACAGCAAAATATTTATAAAAAGTCTATGTTAGTGCATTGGTTTTAAAAGAAAGAATTCCAAAACCAAATGATCCACACACTAATCCAACATGTTTGACTTGGGAGTTCTTTGCCAAGATTGGACTCCATTCATAGATAAATCAAACTCACTGAACCAAATCTTTAGAATTGCTGTTTTCAAATCTTCAGGACTCACGGAGGAATTTAGGTGTGTAACCATGCAGGATCTTAGCCTAAGCTCTTTGCCAAAACATATAAATACTTCTAGACACTCCTTTCATATGTGCAAAAAACCTACATAAATCTAATGCCCTTACAGAATGCCTCTTTTAGATACATTCACCTGGACATGTTTTACAGACTGAGTACATCCACTTGATGAATAAAGACAAAAGTGAAATTTTGAGCTAATGAAATTTGGTAGGAAAAAAGAAAGACAGGAAGCCAGAGGGATGAAGATGCCACAGCTACACCCTCTATAGAAAAAAAAAGCATCACCTTATTCTCAACCTGTGTGGCTACTCTGAGCTAAAGGCAGGCCTTATTTGAGCAATTAAGTTTCCCAGTCAGACATTTGCTAACCTAGAGGTAAGTTGTACCAAAATACCATTGAGGGTCAAATGTGTGGTCCGTCAATGGACTGGATCGAAGTGAATGCCATGCCGTATAATTCAATCTTGAGAGAAACCGTGAAGCTGCCCACATGTCTCAATCAGTAACACTTTAAGCAAGACCAGGCTCTCTTTCCCTTGCTGAAAATTTAATGACTTTCCCATTACCTTCTAACTGAAGTTCAAAATCCTCAGCCTGAAAACTTAGATTTTTCTGAATTGGATTTGTGTTTACCTTTCTGCTTTCATCTGTGGACAATCTCCCCACACCCCAATGTGTGTGCACACCAGGACACACACACCACACTGTAATCTCTAGACATACTGAACGTGTGCAATATTGATAATGCCCCCCACTCTCTTCAGCCACACTCCTCTGTGTCTGACATTTATTCTGCCTGGAATTGCTTTCTCTTCCTCATTCACCTGGCTAACTTCTTTCAATCAAGACTCAGCCCAGATGGTGCCTCCTCTGGGAAGCCTTCCCTGACTCTCCAAGTCCGGCTTACTAATCCATTCTTAGTGCCTCACTGCTGCTGTTCTTGTTGTTAGCTACCATGGAGTTGGCCTCTGACTCACGGCAACCCCATGCACAACAGAACAAAATATTGCCTGGTCCTGTGCCATCTCCAAGATTGGTTGTAGACTGGACCATTGTGATCCATTGGGTTTTCATTGCTGATTTTTGGAAGTAGACAGCCAGGCCTTTCTTCCTAGTCTATCTTAGTCTGAAAGCACCACTGAGACCTGTTCAGCATTAGAGCCACTCACAAACCTCCACTGACAGATGGCCAGGAGTTGAGCCCACGTCTCCTGCGTGCAAGGCAAGGATTCCACCACGGAGCCCCCAGTGCTCATCTGTGCACGGTAAAGGGCCCCCATGTGCTATAGTTTCTTATTTAGCTGTAATTCTTCTCTATCAACTATAAACGTTATGCCTGGCTCAGTAAAGAATTGTTGACTACACAAGCACCAGGTGTGAACTGACTCCTCTCCTAATCATCCTTGTACTCTTTTTTACTGCTATCCACCAGAACAGGTTAAGAGAACAGATAATTGTCATAAATAAATAACTAAATAAATGGTTTAAACCAAACTCACTGCTATGGAGTCAGATCCGACTCATACTGACCCCTCCTTGGGTTTCTGAGGCAGAAGTAGATTGCCCAACCTTCACTCAGAAGGAAGACTGGGCAACCTACGTCTCTGGTGATACCGCCTGGGAAACCCAAGGAGGGATAGTCAAGGTAGTTAAGTGATTTATATGAGCCTTCAGGTTTATGCCTAGAGGAACTGAAAGAACAGACAAATCCACTAAACCAAGGCCCACAGTGCAGGGCACACGCAGGTTAAAGGGCTTTCAGGAAGCAGTGTTGCTAATCTGAGAAGGTTTAGTGAGACTTTCTAGGTTTTGATGAAAGTCGTAGACGTAAATGGTAGTGAAGTGAAATAGCGTCAGCATAGGCAAAATGTAGCCAAACAGGAAAAAAGAAAGAAATAACTTGACCTCTTGACATTGAAGCCTGTAAGCAGCTAAGAGCGACTGGGTGAGAAGTCTACTTACTCTGCTAACAACCAAGGGCAAGTTCTTACCCTCTGGCCTGGGGTGCCGTCACGGCCTGGTGAACCAACGCCTCCTGGAACACCCTGGGCAGAGAAAGGATAAAACAGGGTCAGAGGCACAGGAACGAGTCACCCTCTCAGCCAGCCTCCTGAGCAAATCAAGGCCTCCAAACAAAAGCACGGCATGAAGGTGAGCGACTTAGAATCCAGAACCCGGAAGTTATTCATGGGAAGGGAATGGCCTCCCCCAGAACTCATGCTGGGAAACATGAGCGTGAAGCTCCAAAGAGGCTTCAGGTAAATGAGTAAAGGCAGTCCCTGCGTGATGAATGAGTTCCATTCCTAAGTCTGTCTTTAAACTGAATTTGTATGTAAGTCAGAACAGTTAGGTACAGTGGTATCTGACATCAGTTAGTCAAAGGTCTGTCTTAGTATATATACTATTTTATTTTTATTTTTTATGCATAGCATTTCCAGATACACTAATCTTTAAGATAGTAATACAGTAATAATAGTGCTTTTATGCATGTTGCAAAGTAGCACCTGTTTGTTACACAAATCATTGTATGACCTTGAATTTCTAATATAATAGGCTCTACAGTGGTTGATCTGTAACTACAGTTGTATATAAGTTGGACAGTAACAACCGAGGGACTGGCTGGGCAGGCAAACAGTCCAACAGTCATTAAAAAGGAAACCACTTACTGACAGAGTCACAGCCTTTCCCCCCTACCTCTTGGCAAAGCTCTAGAGCCGAGAGCAACAGACTGAAAAACAGAAAGAATACCTGTGGTCCAGAGGGACCAGTGTCTCCTTTCTCTCCTTTTTCTCCTGGCATCCCCTGAGTGTCCAGAAGTACAAAAGGTTAAGTTCACCTACGTAAATTCTTCATCTTTTTTTCCTGCTACTGACTGCTCAAACATCTTACATTAAATTGCTTTGATGCCAACATCTAAATACAGTATATTTTACTTCTCACATATGCTACATCATTTCTATAAACACTCCTATGGAGCTCAATGTTTATATGCCCAATAGTTTAAACACAGAATATACAGTCCAATATGGCTGAGCCTATGTTGGAAATATGTGGAGGTGTGGAGGGGATAGCTGAACATTCCAATGTTATGTGTAATTTAAATTTTAAATCACACACACACACACACACACATATTTTGCTAGAAGGATGTAAGAATGGGAAAAGAAACAATACAGAGCCAAGCTGGTAATGAGACTTCAACAAATGTTCATTATTAGAAGTAGTATTTATATAAACTATGCTTTCTAAAACATGGGGGTTACTCCATAGAGGAAAACTCAGCGAGGGAGACACAATCCTATAAACTAAAGATTGCTAAAAAATAAACAAAAAGTATGCTGTAAAGGATCTGGTGGCTTCAATTATTAATTACAAAAATTGTTTTCATTCTTTAAATCTAGATCCCTTTAGTAGCAGTAATTAAATCCAGTGAGTGGAATTAAACTTGTTTTCAATGGAACAAGTAAGTTTTAGAGAGAATAAAAAGTATAAAGTATACCATCTAAAATTTAAAACTGTCTCACTCCATGGACTGCACTTTGATGCCAGTCAAGTTAAAAATCATGAGTAAGTGGCTTTCCTGGCTCTACATTACCGGTCACTATAAATAAATAATACTAAACCAAACTCACTACTGTCAAGTTGGATCTGACTCATAGCAACCCCTCCTTAGGTTTCTGAGGCAGTATCACTACGGAAGTAGATTGACCAACCTGCCTTCTGAGGAGTGGCTGGTGGGTTTGAACCACCAGCCTTCTGGTTAGCAGTCAAATGGTTTAGGCACTATGCCACCAGAGCTCCCAAATAAATGATGAAGAATCTAAATTCATATAACACTGCTTACTTTCTAGGTTTTCTCACATCCAGTAAGGACTCCGTCAAACAAGGAAACACATTAAACCTGTTACGGCCTGTTTGACTTCTGTAGACAAAATGCTTGTAGGTGTACCTACTACCCGTGCATGGACCTGTTTGTTACAAGACTCCTATTACTGGACAAAAAATTGGCTACAGACACAGGTGATGAATGGATCCTCAGCTATTATGTAAGTATTCATCTCTCAACCTTTCTTTTTAGGGGTAGGAAGGTACAGGGGCTCATTACTAAGGTACAGAAAACAAAGGGTCATTCTTTGCAACCTCATGGAGATGTAACAACAGAACCCTCCTGGATCTTTCACACAACTCACGGGCATTCCTTGAATGGACAGACCACTTGGTCCTTGGGGTCCAGGAGGACCCTGAGGTCCTGAAGGGCCTGTTTCACCCCGAGGGCCCTCTGGTCCCTGAAAGGCAATAGAACAAAGTCATGCCAGAAATAAGTTAGATCCTCTGATACCCAGAAGATGTTTCAGTTAAGGGCACATAAAATGGATTTCCTTAAATAATTTTTCTGAAGACATGAAACATTCATAGGATAGCAAGGCATCAAGCCTCAAATGATTCACCTCCCAGGCACAATGTCATCAGTAAACCATAAAAGTAAACATACTTTTTACTTTTGTTTTGTTTTGTTTTTGTTTTTACTTTTGCAGGGATTGCTGCAACATTATTTACTGCTTCCATAAATATGAATGCTATGTCAATTATGTAACTAGACCCCCCACACTCCATAACCAACTTAAAAGGTAGAAACGTTTGTAGACCACCCTCCTGGTCTGTGATGGTTCTCCCACTCTGTTGAACCACATCAGCTCATCTTCACTGCTGCCAACCACTTCCTTCAGGGGCCTCCTCTGCCTTTGTGGAAGACCACATCTAGGCCCTATTATCTTCCTTATCTCAATCCTGTCATCATCCTCTGCCTCTGAAATGACTTTCCCCAGGCTCAATGTTGATTTCTGCTCTTCCTTACTTCTCTGGCCAAGGTTCGGACTTTGTTGTGGTTGAGCTAGAATTTCATCACCTCTGCAATCTTTGACCCAGAAAACACTTGTCCTCCAACTCTTCTTTCCCTTCTCTCATTCTGTGACTCCAACTCAAGCTATTCTTTTACTATATTAAGACCTCCAACATCTAGGTATTATGTTATTTGTGTGGATAGTGACTCCACTAGTTGGAACAAGGAATACAAAAGAAAAGGCTGAATGGACTAAGAGAAAGGGAAAGACCAGTTGTGGAGTCATTTCCAACTCATGATGATTCCAGGTGTGTCAGAGTCAACTTGTGCTCCATAGAGTTTTCCATGGCTGACTTTTAGGAAGTAGTTCACCGGGTTGTTTTTCTAAGGTGCCTATGTTGTTGTTGTTGTTGTTGTTATGTGCCGTCGAGTCGGCCCCGACTCATAGCGACCCCTCCTTGGGTTTCCGAGGCAGTATCACTACGGAAGTAGGATTGCCCAACCTTCCTTCCGAGGAGTGGCTGGTGGGTTTGAACCACTAGCCTTCTGGTTCGCAGTCAAGTGCTTTAGCCACTATGCTACCAAGGTGCCTATAGATGAACTCAAATCTTCAACCTTTCAGTTAACAGCTAAGCATGTTAACCGTTTGTACCACCCAGGGACTCCTTGAATTGGCTGTTGTTGTAGTTGTTATGTGCTGTCGAGTCAGCCCTGACTCATAGCGACCCCTTCTTGGGTTTCTGAGGCAGTATCACTACGGAAGTAGGATTACCCAACCTTCCTTCCGAGGAGTGGCTGATGGGTATGAACCGCCAGCCATCTGGTGAGCAGTCAAGTGCCTTAGCCACTATGCTACCAGAGCTCCCCTTGAATTGGCTACTACCTAATTAATTACGTTCAGCTTTTGTTCATTACTTCCTCTTTTTTTTCCATATTCTTTCCTACTTCGCTTCTTCTGTTTCCAATTTTATACACCCACTCCTCACTTATTGAAATGTTAAGGTTCCAAAGACCAGGTCATTATGTGAAACCAGCATTATATGAGTTGAGGGCTGCATTCTGTCACCAGCACTGGTGTCCTCCTCAGTTATTCAGCACCTGTTAGGCACCCTTGACACAACTCAGGATATGTGTGGCACAGTGGGCCATCCTGTACCACCATGCCTTCCCCAACAACATGGAGCCCGTGGGAATTGGGGGTGGTGGTAGTGGTGGTTGGATGTTGTCTGCTACATGCTGCCCCCTGCCCTGGGTGGGGCACTCATCCTCCACCATTGCCTCCAACAACCCAACCTGAACAGAGATCCCATTCGCCCATTCACCATGGCCCCACAGTCCTGCATGACCCCATTCCCTCTCCCCACTTGCTGGCCAACACCCATCAACTTCTTCAACACCTTTGGGCAAGCCTTCCCCAGCCTCTCCACAATGTCACATTTTCCCATTGTTGTTCTGTGCCCTCCATGGCCAGATCAAGACATCATCGATGAAGGGAAGAAGGTGTCCTGTGGCCATTTGGCTGCCAATCCTCCTGCGGCCTGGTCACCATCAGGGCCTCCAGTATATCATTTGGGAAGTACCCCAGCCCAAGCTGCAGCCCCATGTGGGGCTCAGACCATTGGAGGCACCATCTGAGATTTTTTTCAAAGTTGTTGTAAATGCAAAATGTTAGATAATGAAATAGTTGATAAGTGAGGAGTAAGTGTGATGAAAAAAAAATCTTTCACTGTTCTCAGATCCATGAATAAATATTATGTGAAATTAATTAGTAACCATACTGAAGCAGTAAGTAAAGCAAGATGGATAGAGCTGAGATAACATGGATGGACACAGTGAAAGAGAGGACAGTGAGTTAAATTATAAAGGGCCTTGAATTATGTGCCAAGGAGTATGAACTATATTCTCAATGCAATAGCATGTAACTGTAGGTGTTAAGGAGGATGGTGTGACCTGGCACAGACTTTAAGGAAATGAAGAATCAAACAGAAAGCCAAGCCACTGGAGCTAGGAGACCAGTTAGAAGATCTGCCAAAAGCCATATAAAAGATGGAGAGACCTAAACTCAATTAGTGGTAGGACTTCTGCCAGCTTATAGGGTACCTTCAAGCAAAGCAGAAAAATGTGTGCCTTGACATGGCTTGGCATGCCTTAGTCCTGTTGGCTGGTGCCTTGGAGGCCTTGGGCAGTGGAAATGGAAAACAGAGCTTTGTGTTTGATTATACACAGTGGAAAAAGGAGAAGAAATTCAAAACCTGAGAAATTACCTGAGAGACTGCGTCCCAGTTGTGATTCAGTATTTGCCCAAAGTCAAATCTTTGTGGGAGATAAAGGAAGAAAAGAATGCTAGAGGATGTGATGGAGAGAGAGAAAGACCGAGGGAACACTGCCTTGGACAACAAATCACTCTGAACATTGACACTCTTATTTCTGACCCAGAAACCTTTCTTTTCATGGAGTTATTAAATACTCATTTTGGTTACCAAGCACAAGTCTTTAAGAAAATGGAAGAAGTCTTAGACATAACTTCCATAAAACTATAAGGAGCTTTTGTTTGCAAAGGGTCAATAGTACTAAACTCCAGAATCATGGCTAATTATAAGAGAGAGAAAACATTACCTTGGGACCCTGTTCACCTTGTTGACCCTTTGGTCCTCGGACTCCTGGACCACCCTGGCAAACAGATGTTAAGTATTAGCTCAAACAAAAATCTCCAAACATTATATTCCATCTATTTTCCGTATAATAGAGATTATTCTTATTTTGTATAAAGGCCAACACACTGTGTAATGGTATAAGTTCATCAAGATTCCTTACTGGAAATTTACCACTTCCCCCAACTTCTCCCCGTAGATGATTTCATAGTTTGAGAGAATTTTCTATGGCAAATCATTTTAAGTCTTGAAAATTTTTAAGATTAATGTAGTTAGTGATTACATAATACCATGCTACTAATGGATAAAAATATTAAAATATATTATTAATCTAAAACTGTATGTGTCTTATAATCATAACTGAGGTGAAATTATTCACTAAAAGTATAAAATAAGCACAGGAATGTACTAACAATTTGATTTCATTTACGCAGTTATTTAGTGTTTTTGAAACTTCAGTCTTTTGCATTTCCCATCAAGATTTTGCCATATGAAGGTATGACCTCCACTAGTATTTAATGGTATTTTCTTTATGTAGATATGTGTATTGTACATACATGATATATATGCATATATGTGTTTACATAGTCTTTGTATAGATGTGTGTATGTGTGTGTGTGTATAGCCTGCATATTTTCAACTGACCTATTATTGAAATTAAATAAACCTATTTTAAGAAGAAATATAGCTCTGTAGTAAATGGAAAATCATCACTTACTAAAAACAGAAAGTAATCTTATAAAGTAGACTGTAAATAATGTTCTTTAGTTTAGCTGGATTCTATTCCTGTTGGAGGCTGGGACCCAAGGGTTTGCTCATTGTTAAAAAGGGGAATGAATAAGTGTGGGCCAGACCAGATGGGCGCCAAGCTGAGAATTTCTCTTTCACCTGACTGGAGGCATTGAGCATAGTCAAAATGGGGTAAACTCCTCCCTTTGAGGTTTCCATGTATTTCATGCTGTGTTTACGACTACTGACAATCATTTTTGTGTACCATGAGCAGGACACTTATGTCACATGGGAAAATACCGGATCAGGTGAGTTGTACTTTCTTCCAACGTTTTTTTTCAATCACTTAAATCCACCTCCACCCCCAAAATCTTAGCTGGTTGTCTTCTAGACAACCAACAATCATAAAACTACATTTTATGCATGTAAATATGTGTCTATAGAAAATACCATCTATTATATTTTGTGGTATTATCTTATTGCATGTAGTTTACATATATGATGTCCCACTTTTAATATATTTCTGAGTTTTCTTAGTATGTTTTAGAGGTGTGTCCATGCTCTTACATGTAGATCTAATTCATTCTTCCTAACTGTTGCACAGTAGTCCAAAACTTAGATATACAATAGCTTATTGAACCATTCTCCCACGGTTGGACATTTAGGTTGTCGTGTTTATTTTTTCCCTAAATTTTTTGCTGTTTAAAAAATGTCTCAATTAACATTCTCATACATCTCTTAAGTACAAATGTTAATATTTCTCAGGAGAAGATACTAAGAATGGAATTACAGATGAAATTTGACAGCGATACAGACACATTTTCAAATTTCACTCCAAAACAGCTGTAACAGTTTATAAATCTGCCAATAGTTCAAAAGTTTCCCTTAACCTTACTTGACACTTGATATTGCTAAGCTTTCTATGTTTACTAACTTCATTGATAAATACTAATCCTTTACTCTTGTTTTCATTTTCACTTCTCTGAAAGTTACCAAGTTTGATCATCTTGTCACAACTTTTGCCCATGTACATTTCATTCTCACCATGACTGCCTGTTTATATACTTGACTCACTTTTCTATTGGGCTGTCTTTTCTTCTTTACTATATAGGAATCCTTCATACATTTGGATACTACACTTTAACTATCATATAAGTTGCAAATATGCTTTCCCAGTGAGACCGACACTATTAGCTGGCTACTAAGATCCTTTCCTGACTCCCTACTCCTTTTGTGTTGCTTACTATAAAGGTCAGGAGCGCTAGCGGTGCAATGGTTAAGCTCTTGCTGCTAACCAAAAGGTCAGCGGTTCAAGCCCTCTGTGGGAGAAAAGACCTGGCCATTTGTTCCCATAAAGACTGCAACCTAGAAAACCTTCTGGGGCAGTTCTACTCTGTCCTGTAGAGTTGCTCTGAGTCAGAGTCGACTTAACAGCACAGAACAACAATGATCAACACTAAAAAAGGCCAGTTATTTGCTTTCCCAGCCTCCTCTGCAACCAGAAATGAGCATGTTAACCAGTTTGGTCTACTTGATTTGTTAAGCAACAAGTCGTAAGAATGAAAATCTGAACCATCAAGGAAACCCCAGTGGGAAGCTGGTAAAAGCTTGAGACTTTACTGAAGTTGTTAAGTAACCTCATTTGCCTTGGGACCTTACTTCTAACCCTTTTGTTGAACTATGCAACACTAAAGAATAATGTAGAATCTGCAAAACATTGCATAATGTGGATGAACTTGGAGGATGTTATGCTGAGTAAAGTAAGTCAATCAGAGAAGAACAAATATTACATTATTGTAAAAAGTCAAGGAAAGGTTTATACATGGAAGGAAACTTTCTTTGTTGGTAACCAGGGGTGGAAGGGGAGGGAAGGGAACACTAAAAAAAAATTTAAAAAATAAACCTTTTGTTGAACAAATAATGAATGCTTTAATGTCTTAATAGTTTATTATACAACTCTGTTAGTCAGATTTTGTTCCTTGCAGCCTAATGCATCCCAATTAACATACTCCGTGTGTCACAACTCTTTAAATTTGTTTTTGAACGGTTGGTTTTTAATTGAATGTTTTGCTCAAATGTGACTGTCTCACAGATAATCATACCATAAGCACCATGTCAAAAAGCCAGGAACCATTTTTTATACTTGCACATTATTTTCCACCTTATCCCTAACTCTCATCACTGACAGCACAAGAATTCAATACATTTCTGTAGACAAAAAAAAAAATCCATCCTTTTAATAAGAAAGAACAAGTCTAAGCAAAGGGTATATGTTTCTTTCACCATGCCTTCCTTTTTATAATTATATTGCCATATGATACTGCTGAGTAAATTCTTTTTATAATTTTATTGGCAAACGATACTGCTGAGTAAATTCCTGAATGAGAAAATAATCATAAATATATCCAATCACCCCTCAGGCTTTATTACATATTTTTCAGAATACTATGTCATGAATTTTTTTTGTACTTCAAATAATTGAAAATTTCAATAGCTTTTTCCCTATTTTACATCCACTTTCCCTTCAAGTCAGGGCTCAAAACTTCTCTTTCACTTTTCTCCTGTTCTCTTCTCATTAGAAAGTTGGACTGTTAGGTCTTATATAAATATTTAATGACCTCTTCCAGCAACATTGCAGATTTGAAAATCCTCCAGCAATGAACACTTATTAAAATAACAGAAACGTTACTGTAACTAAGACCTGAATCTTAATTAATATTAAGGAATGAAGAGGAAACAAAGAACCAGAGATGCATGCACCAAGACTGCCCTTGTGGAAGGTGGGAAACATGGTTGAGGCTTGCAGGAAAGCTTGTGCTTCTGAGCACATGAAAGCCAAAGTAATGTGAACGTGGACCTGATACGGGAAGGAAGGGTTGAAATGTGAAACATTCTTCAAAGGTAAGAAATTTGAAAAGCTGCACTCTGAATAAGCTGGGAGGGAGGGCCAGGGGGAGGGAACACCTGCTAGTAGGCGGGAAAGATCACTGGGGGTGCAGTGGTTGAAGGGCTCGGCTGAGGACTTAAAGCTTGGCAGGTAAAACCTCCAGCCTCTCTGCAGGAGACAGACGTGGCAGTCTGCTTCCATAAGGACTACAGCCTTAGAAAACCCATGTGGCAGTTCTACTCTGTCTTAAGGGGTTGCAATGAGTCGGAATCAACATGATGGCAATGGACTGGGTAATAGGTGGATGACCAAGATGGGAGGAATAGGAAATATCTCCTGTAAGAAATATTAGTTACAAGCTGGTCCTCCTACAATCTGGGGCCATATTGCTTCTACCTTGGGACATTGCCGATCAAAGCTTACCATCATCCTGTTCCCATTCCAGCCAGTTGGGAAGGGGGACAAAGAAGGTTAAAGGAGAGGCATTTGTTTTTTATTTATGGACAAGACTGAGTCCTAGGGTCACCCCTACTTGCACAGGATTCTAACAAATTGAGTCCCTTGCTGGATGGCCATGGGCATGGCTGAAACACAGGACATTGGAGTGCTCTAAAGAAGCAGTGGGAATTAATGTGGGAGATGATTAGCAACTCCTACACCTACCAACACTACCTGTCAACAACATGGGAAATAAAAGCATTTTCAGATGAATAAAAACGGGAATCATTACCATAGTCTCTCATGATGGGAAGATCCAAAGGACGTTCTCCAGGAAAAAGAAAAATGATGCCAGAAGAAATTGTGAGAAAAGAAATAGCGGATCGGTTGGAAAGTCTTAACAAATGATAATCATCATTAAACAAGAAAAGCTAATAATCAAAATGTCCAACTTGCAATATAAAAAACAGTTTTAAAATATTGGACAGCAACAGCACATAAATGATAAAAAAAGCTGATCCAAGGTGAAAGATCCAAGAGCATCATATTAGTTGAAAAGAGAGACAGAATTTTTTTTTCTTTCGTCTTTGTGAAGCTAAATTCATCTGCTAAAATGTCCAGGTAAACCATTAAAATAACAGATATAATTTACAAACTAGTAGAGGGGAAAAGAAAAGAACAAGAATAAATGCAAAAGACAACCAAAAAGCAAGCAAATAAATGTAATCTTAATCTACCAAGAAGTCAAATAACTACACAAGAGGTATTAGAACAAATAAAGTGAAAATGATTAATTTTGGTGGTGGGTTCAAAATACATATATTACTTTTTAAAAAATATTTTCTAAATTTGAAATGTTTAATAACCAAACATGGATGCATTGAGAACACTAAAAGTCGGGAGCTCTAGTAGCATAGTGCCTAAGGGACCTGACTGCTAACCAGAAGGCTGGCGGTTCAAACCCACTGGCCACTCCTCGGAAGGAATATGGGGCAATCTACTTCCGTAGTGATACTGCCTCGGAAACCCAAGGAGGGGTCACTATGAGTCGGGTCCG